TCCTGAAACTAGTAAAAGATAGTGTCAATCAATCTATGAGCAAGTTTGCCAGTATATTGAATCTCACCCCTAGAATACAGCAGTCTGAGGGTAAAGCGCAATCATTGATGACGAATAGGCCTCAGAGAGGTGGATATCGAGAAGGCTCCATGATGTCCAGTAATGCCTATAGACTTAGTGAGTGCAACAGGTTTCGTAGTACATGCTCAACAGATAAGTTGCAAGATGCAAGACAAACACGGTTGTGTTTCACGCGTTTGCAAGAAGTGCATACAGAAGTGAACTGTGAACCAGTGAGCAAGTTCAGTGATAAGCTAAATGTAAACTCCAGGTCTGACTCCGAATTGTGTGACGATAACGGTGTTGTGAAGAAGTCTGTAGTTACAACTGGTAAGCCATTGTTGAATAGAGTGTCACAGAATAGAGTTATTGCTTCAGAGTGCAGTTCTGACCCTACAAGTTTACAAAGTATAACTAGTCAGAGTGAAGATATAAAACCTTTAATGATTTGTGAGGAGGAGCCAAAATTGTCTACTTCTGTTATTAAAGAGTTTGAAAATGATGAACTTGATGGTAAATTGAATATTTGTGGTAATGATCATGATAGTGCAGATTTGTCTTTGGTTGATCATGATGAAATGAGGGATATGCCTACTACCGCTAAGTTAAATAAAGGTTCTGTACAACTTGAACGTGAAGTGGAAATAAATGCAGGTGCAGTTGCAGAAGGCATGCGTACTTGTGAGAACGTCAGTGTGATTGATCAGCATGTAGCCCACCTATCATCAGATGCTAGTGCTAAACCTGAGCTGATAGTAAAAAACACCAGTGGTGGTGGTCTTGCAGGTAGACAAATTTCTGAAAGTCGAGCAACAACAGCTTTTGATCCACTGCTAAGTTCATCAACTGATATCAATCAGTCGTCGTTGGTGCTGTCATCCACAATGAAAAAGACGCCCATGAACTCAAGTATCTTGTCCAATGACTATGCTAGTATCAGTTCGTTTGAAAGGACGAATATCAATGGTCAGTTTAGTGAGGATAAGCCAAGTGTAAGCGAGAGAGTAATTGTTAAATTGACTTGTACGAATAAAGGCATTTCTAGTTTCAAGTTACTATTTGAATGTTATTATCTTTGGTGTAAATTACTCTGTTTCTATGCTTGGTTGACCAGATAAGTCGTATGTTTGTTGGTCATCTATATTCTACGATACAATGACATGAGCGAGTTGCCGTTCAGATTTGAAGATATATCTGATAGGAGGAGGTCAGCAAATGAACTCTGCAACGATTTTCCAACCTAGGGCGTCAACCTGAGAAGGGTTGTAGGCGTGCTGCTGTAAGTCCTACAATTCTTCAAGGGTTGTTTGCCGTGCCAGAATACACAACATTTGATGTGTTGATTGTACATATGTTTGTGTTAAATAATTGTGTGAGTTCCAATTGTTGTAATTGTTGAATAATCTTGTTTGTGTCCGGACATTCCACAAATTACAATGGTCAACCTGTGAAGGTTTGTAGGCGTACTGGTGTTAGCCCTGCGATTCTTCAAAGGAATTCCACCAAGACATGATCGGCGAGTTTGTGTGTACTATTTGTATATACGTGTGGTGAGTCATAGCAATTGGTGTATTTTGGATTCATTGTGTTTACTTGTTGTTTTCGTGTCTTGTTGTTATTGCGTAATTTTGTTAAAATTTTCGTCTTGATTATTTCTGAAGTTGTTTCGAGTCTTCTATATCCATGAATGAATTGATTGATGTTAAGGACAGCAGATGGGGCGTATACGCCGGGGAGGCTATTGCTGAGAATGACATGCACACGGAGATAATTGTTAGCTGCGGTCCGACACGCCGGGGAGAAAGAGTGTAAACGACTGAGGCTCGCATGCGTCACCGCTACTAGAACTGAGGCAGAATGAGTGACAAGCGATTGCAGTGGTAATTGGTAGTGAGTAGATAAGACGATGTGCGTAGAGTATCATGAGTTGGTGCTATGGTCACGTTACATTCTGCAAGAGTCATTCTAGCAAACGGCGATTGTGTTGCAAGATGTCAAGAGGAGGTCTCTGTCTGGAGGCGCAGGTCGTCAGCGATGTGTGAGATTGTGCTGTGAGTATGCTTGTGGTGTGTTGGCTTTTCCGTTTGTTTTCCATTTCAGCTCTGTCCGTGTGACCCAGGTTCTCGCAATGGCATCCAAGTCAACGTGTATTGGTCGTGAAGGAAAAAGGGGTTGGATCCCTTTTTTGCCGGGGAGTGTCAATGGAGTTGAAGATTGAACGATCAATTCTTGGTTGTTTGCTCAAAATCAACTTCCCCAATTTTCGCGGAGGCATTATCAAACCTTAACGTTGTCAGTTTAGAGAAAAGTGGTGATAAGACAGCATGGTAGTTCATTGATAAAAATTATTGGCCCTGGGATAGAATCCTGCGACACTACTCATGACGAGCTGTGCCAAGATGATCAGTCTCGATTGACATTGGTGCAGAATTTCTTTTCGGTCAGGTAGTCATGCAACCATGATGGAAGAGTCTCCCCTACATCTACCTGACCTGCTCTGTGTAAAAGGTCATGGTGGACTATGTCAAGTACCTTCTCAGAGTGTAGGAAGACCACATGGATTTGAATATTCATATCCCAGCATGACGCCAACCATCCTAAGCTGAGAGTAGGTCCTTTACACATTATTTGCTTTTCCTGAAATCATGTTGTCCTTCCATGACATAACTTATCGTTCAACAACACCCCAGGTTCTATCACTTAAACTCGTAGTTTAATGTTGTTAAGACAAAATTTCTGAGTGCATGTGGCTCACAAAACCTAGATAAACTACGCAGGAGAATGCTTTTATTTGTTTCCTTCGTGAATAATAAACTAATAGGATTTCGATCGTTACGATATTGCCGTTCAATCGCTAGGTATTTTGATGTCTGCATAGTCACTTTCAAATATGCTTCATGTGCTGGACTAATAGTTAGCCGCGTTTCACCAAATGTAATACACAATTCGGATAGAAATTGAAGTCCTTAGGTGTATGCATACGGCCTGTGATTGTTCAAGATGAAATCGGCTCTGAGTTAGACACCTGCAGCGAATAACAATAATAATCTATGTTTCCTGGAAACAGTTAAGTTTACATGAAATATATGCCATTTATAAAGGCAAGATGAGACATGGTGTGAACTTCAATCATGAAATACAAATAAATTATAACTTTTTGAAGAATTTAAATGGTTGAATTATAGTACAAACAATCAGAGCAAGTCCGCATATATATTAAGTTGTAGACCCTCATAAAAGTCTCCACCAAGGTTCAGCAGCAACCCAGACATCGTTTCATTTCCTGCTGATGGCTACGGTCTAGCAGAAAGCAGCACACATATGTGCAAGTGCTGTGTCTGCGCGTGATTAAAAGCTATCCTAGGAAGAGAAGAACGTCCTGAGAAACTGCAGAGTGGTGTGAGACAATTTATATATATCATTGAAAGTACATTTACAAGATACAAGAAGGATATCAATCACGTCTCATAAACCGTTAATGCCCAGCTCTCGCTACGCTCGGGCCCACGCTGTTCCTCGAAGATTTCAGAAACGCTTAGTTATAACGGACGAAAAAACCAAAACACCGATTGGCCGCTTGATATTTCTTTATTGTTACACCAACATATAAAAATAATAACTGAACTAAGGTCTGTGAACAAATATTACAATAATAAATCATAGTATTACTTCTGACGGTGTTTCACTCTTCTTTCTGAAAAGCGACCGATGAGACGATGACTGTCGTATTGATGCCTCCGCGAAAATTGGGGAAGTTGATTTTGAGCAAACAACCAAGAATTGATCGTTCAATCTTCAACTCCATTGACAAAGGAGCTACTGTGTCACTGGAGTGATAATGTTAATTTGCAGTGTATAATGCCGACCATATTGGTCTTATAATAAAAACTATCGCATTTTCAGTGAATTGATGGCTTTGCTCAAACACCATTGCTTTTATTGTGTCTTTCCGTCAGTACAACCAGACTCTAGCCGAGCGAAGATTACGAATGAAAAAGCAAGTTTGAGCACAATAGTACTTGGATAAAAAAGTTATTGTGAAGCACATATATTATGGTTAAATGGAAGGTGGCTTCAAGAGTTAGAACCCATCGAATATGCTGACCTGTGAGATGTCTTACGAATTTCTCTAAGGCCCATGTGGTAGCATCTTGACAAGGATCTGAGTAGACTCATCTATGTTAAGGGCATAAGCGTTTCTGTATTATAAAACTCGTGTCTTAACAGTCATCGTAGTTCTTTTTATGTTAAGCATCTACGCATATGTTTAATTCTAAAGCTGTCAAAAATGCATGTTAATGTCCCCCAGATTCTAGCGATTCACATTTGTTACCTCCACTATATCTTCTGATCAGAAAGCTTCTCCCTCCCTCCTATGTCTGTAATGTATGTAGTCTTATCCGGTCAGTGATTTCCTTCGCTACGATTGCGCTATTCGACGGGGAGTCACGGCGTAGTTCCGAGTAACATGGCTGCGGCTAATCGCTGAGCACCGGTCTTGATAGATGTTCAGATGCCAAAGGGAACTCTTTCCACTCAGTTGAGTCAGAGCGAGATGCTATTTCAGACTTCAAATCTAGATAAAAGCCTTCTGTCATGCAACTGGCCTGTTGATAATATCCCGCGCAGTAGATTCTGTGTGATTCTAGAATTTTCTTTAAGTTGTTACGAAGCGCTGACTCGGATCCAACCTTGCTGCCAGTGGTTGCTTTCCTAGGTATACCTAACGCGGATATCCGCTGTTGAAGGAAAGCCTAAGCAATGATTTTTGCCCTAATGTTACCAAACGACTTGGCTACAGGAAATCTAATGGGAATGTGAACACGCGAGTAAGTTACTGAATTTCAACAAACCGGGACCACGACCCCATAGAAGACACTGTCCGTGCCCGGGGTAGAAATGAGTGGGTCATCCCCACGGGGTTTGGTCATTAGGAGTTCATGCAACAGCTTGTCCAAAAATCATTGAAAAGTGCTCAGCGTGTAGCAGTGGGTAACTTCCTCAAAGATTTAGCCTATTTAAAAGTGCCTGTCGAATTCAAAAATAGTGGACAATATGTGCTGTTCGTAGGCCCGACAACTGTTCGACAGACGGCTTATTTGCAGGCGAAGCACGCAGTCCCGCTCCGAATTCACTAACTTCATTCTATCCATGGTTAATCCTTCTCAGCTTTTCACAAGCTAGATATCTTATGCCATTTTCTAATCTGTTATTTTTGAATTTATAAAAAAACTGTATCGGTTGAAGGATTTCATCGTGAGGTGACATCAGTTAGAGAACCATTAGAAAACCTGGGAGTACTTGGCAGTCGTTTCGCCCTGGGTTGATAGTCTTCTCAGTATGCACCCGCCGGATTTTACTTGAATGTTTTTGTATGCTAATTGATTATTAGTATAAGCGAAGGATTTGATAGCTCACGCAATCCAGGATGTGCAAACTGAGGTAATATGGAATGGTAGCTAGTTTCATTGTTTCCGGGTTACAGTGGTGACGGCTGTTTCCCTAGTAAATAAGACATACTTTTGTCCCGACAGCTGGAGATTACAAGGAATTTATCACCATGAGGTTGTGGGTTATGTCGGCAGAAAATGCAGCATCACAGATATTTCATAAACTGCTTCAAGCGCACACTAGATTTCAGCACTTCACAGACACCACTGAAGATGTTACTAGAAGGGTATCCTTGGATGCCATACTAATAGAACTGCTCATCGAAAACAGTCGTCACTTATGCGAATCAATGCCCACCGAAGCGGCAGCCATCTAGTGTATAGCTTCAGGAGAATGCCGGTTCACTGTGTGAAAACAATGCATTTGCAAGCATCTATTCGTAGTGTATTGGTTCTGTAAATACTCTACTTGATTTTGTACACTTTATTGCTTTTCCTTAGGCTTTAGATCACCTTTATACCTACTAGTTCGATTTTGTTGTTTCCGTCAGATTTTGCTGTGTACGTACTGTGACTGTTTTCTTTATCTTACATGCTGTTCCATTCCCATGCTTTCCATTTATTTGAACCTTTCATTATGTTGAATGCCCCAGTAGTCTAGCGCTCCTATATTAACTCTAACCGCACACTTATAAAACTAATTCCTGTACCTACAATGTATGTTTCCGGAGACTAATTTTTAACATGCTTGTCTGATATTTAGCAGTGTAATACCGAACTTCAGCTTGCGTTTGTTACAGAGTTCCAGGAAATTACCGACTTTGTATAAACTTAGTAAAAGCATACTGGATACTGATGTTAGGATTCTAACTAGCTTATGTAAATTTGTTGAGATAAAATTGAGCCGGAAAACTGTGTTGAAATAAGAAATAGATTCATTCATGAGGAAGATAGCGATTCGTATCACCATTGTAAAACTAATGCTTTGTAGCTGCTCTATTAGTTACCCATAAAAGTTGCAAGCACCACCTTCGCACTTGTAGACAGTTCCTTTGCTTTTAACTGAGTAATATTTCTAGTAATACTGAGTGAAATAAGTCGTTTACATAAGGAAACTTTAAAACTACGCATCAGAGTATTATCGGTTTGTTATACTGCTCTTATAGTTAAGGACTTTTCGTAGACGTGCTTCTTCATATTTTGTGACAGTTTGAAAGAAAAATGTGTATTCGTGTTATTACCAAAGATTCATGGAAGTGTCGTTACTTAATTGCTTTTATGGCATTTATGTGCATATTGTTAAGTTACACAATCAGAGTTGGCATAAATATAACTCTTTTATCAATGGTGAACGATACAGCTGTGAGCTATTCACAAAGCAACTCCACTTATTACTGTTACAGATACAATAAAGTTAAAAGCGGATTACAAATAAAAGTATTTCAGCATACATTTTAGCAAGATTTGTTAAAGGTAGTTACTGGAGAATACAACTGGAACAGACCAACACAAGGACTGATATTGGGAGCTTTCTTTTGGGGTTACATCATCACTCAGATACCAGGTAAGTACATCCCACAAATATTTTTATTTCGTACTTCTGCTGTGATATCTTTTCTCATTGCAAACTTTTGTTGACAATCAAAGATAGAATTGAAGAAAAGACTGTTATTTCGACTATACTCTAACACAGAATGCTATTTTCATGCTCATAAAATAACCTCAGATATGATACTTTTGCAGGACACAATTTTTTAAATGCTTATAGTGATTTATTCTATTGGTCTGAGTTACAAACAATTCTCTTCTTTAATTGTTTAACCCAAATTTATGTATTAGTTCTGGGAATAATCACCGTAGCTGATCTGCTAGCACAGATATTTCTTTTAAAACAACGATTTCACCTGGGGACATCTAGTTATCAAGACTGTCCGTATACGTGACAGTTGCTCATTCTGTTCGTTATTCGGTGTTTGTGATAGCAAAGTAAAACTTGTACGACCGACTGTCATCCTTTGCTGTCTGATTTTATTTACTAGCTATTTTAAGTTGTGAAACATTAGGACTTTTGTATGACATTTCAAACACGGTTCACAACTGATAATATGGTTAACAGAATCCTCCATATCTTGGAGACATGGAGGTTCATTCCTTAGGAGAATGTTTTAAAGAGACGGGGTAAACAAACCTTGTATTGTCAACCCTCGTGCACACTTTCCTTTAAGAGTGCGACTTTTTTATATCCTGTCATATTGTTGTGTATGACGGCATACAGTGCTGTAACGGTGCTTCTTCCAGGCTTTCGTTAAACTTATATTTTCCAGTGGTTTAATATTCTCTAGTCCACTAACTTTCCGTTTGAAGTTGATCACAAATGAATTATGCAAAGAAATAAAACTAAATCGGTCTGTTTTGTGAACTTTGGAAATAAAATACATTTCTCCCTAGAGAAATTTAGGTGAAGGAGTCTTTCAAACTTCCTTAATAATACACTAACTAGCTACAACGCAGATGGCACACACTGATCCTTTCAAACAAGCAGTTGTTTGCAGGATGTTTCTATTTGTTTCTATCACTTGAGATAAACGAATTAATCGTTGGAGATGAAATGCTTGAGTTTCAACTAGATTCACGAATTTCTTTGATTTCTTACCTTAATTACTCCCGCTGCTACAAGAACAAAAAAATGATGATGTTGTCTGCGTGTACACAGATATTTAGGATTCTGTGGAACGTGTTGTATTTTAAGTATCTGAGCAAAAGAAAACAGAATAGAGACTCCAAGTGCTTTGGGTTAGTGCATGCATATATATTGTAGGGGACTAATATTAGAGTTCACTAACATTCCAAATATAAAAGTAATAATCCAAGTCAGTGGAGTGTTAAATCACAATATATTACCAAAAATACAGTGACGAGTTATAGCAACAAAAAGGATTACTTGTATATAAAGTCTAAGTCCTCGGCTACAAATTAATTATATAATCCACGGGCACGTTAATTGTTTGGACTGCGTCTGCTGTAGCTGCTGTGTTCCGGTTGTAGAAATGTCTTCGGTTGAGAGTAGTAGGCTCCTACAATAAATCCGAAGTATACAACACGGTGTGAGTGGAGCAAGTAAGCAGAAGTGACCAGGGAGAAGACGAAGTCTCCAACAGCAGAGTGTATTTTTCAATTGTACACGGAAGTTATGTATATTTCAACAAGAAGCGTTTTAAACAAAAATTATGTACAATATCTCGAATTTATACAAGTAACCAAAAAGTGTACAATCACATTGTTACGTACTCAACACGGCTCCCCCCTAGAGGTCCGGAGAGACAACCGGAAAATGATAAGTAAAACTATGAAGTAAATAATAATAGTAATAGCAACTTTTGGATAAAAATAGGGATATATTACAACATGCATAAACGCGAGAAGGTATGTGAATCATGTAAAGTCTGAAAGCATATACAATGAGTTCAGCAATAAAAATTGAAATAGAAAGTCATGTCACTTAAATTTGCACTAACCATGAACATAGATTTTTAATGTATAAAGAAAAATATGTAAATACACAGTAATTAAGGAGGGGAAAGAAACATTAAAAAAAATATGGATTAAAGATCAATAGTTTTTGGAAAGGACAATACCTGTTTTTTAGGTGAGGTACATATAAATAAATAATAGTGATAGTAACATCAAAGTTTACGACGAAATACTAACGGTCATGATGATAATGTCTAAACGAAAAAGATAATAATAATTTTTAATTATTTTTCTTTTGTTAGTCCTCAAAATGAACGTAGCGAGCCGGTTTACTGATTTGCCGACCACTACGTGTTTGATATGGAGGGAGGATAAGACTTGGTGCCGGTGGAGGGAATTCGGATGTTTGATTATTTGATTGCGCAGCTGCCGATGTAGATTCGAAGTCGTTGTCGGTGTATGCGGGTTTGATTCGATCAATTGAAACAGTCTCTCGTCTTCCATTCTTGTTCACTGTAAAGTGTTTGTCTGAACGTTTAATAACTTGAAAGGGTCCTTCGTATGGAGGTTGCAATCCTTTTCTGATGGCGTCGACTCGAATGAAGACGAATTTGCAAGTTTGTAGATGTTTGTTGATCTGATCTCTTCGGGGAGATTGTCGAGGTGCTGTTGGTTGAAGTTGAAGCATTTGTCTAGTTAATCGGTTAGTGAAGTCGGCAATGTTCACGTCTGTGGAATCGGCTGAGGGGACTAGCTGTCCAGGCAAGGTTAGGTTGGTGCCATAGACAAGTTGAGCCGGTGTACATCCTAAATCTTCTTTGATAGTAGAACGGATACCAAGTAAAATCAAAGGTAAGTATTCACTCCACTTAGATGTATCATTCTGCGCCATCAGGGAGCTTTTCAGTTGTCTGTGGAATCTTTCCACTAGACCATTCGCTGCCGGATGATAGGCTGTTGTGGAGATATGTTTCACTCCCAGAAGTCTCGTCAGTTCGCGAAAGAGTGTCGATTGGAATTGAGGACCGCGGTCGGATGTAATAGTAGTTGGTACACCGTAGTTTGACACCCAACGGTCGAGAAAAACTAAAGCAACGTTTTCAGCAGATATGTCGTTTAAGGGGCATGCAATAGCCCAACGAGTAAATCTATCAATCGCTGTCAGGATATGTGTATATCCCCTTGATGTTGGCAATGGTCCCACGATATCTATATGGATATGCTGAAATCTCCTTTCGGGTAATTTAAACGTCTTCGGGGTTGTAATAGTGTGGCGGTGTACTTTGGAGCATTGGCATTGGATACATTCTCGTGCCCATCTCCGAATGTCAGAGTTCATTTTAGGCCACACGAAGCGTTCGCTGATCAGTCTGACCGTGGCGCGTACTCCAGGGTGAGAAAGCGAATGTAAATGTTCGAACAATGCTTTTCGGCAACTGAGAGGGACAAATGGACGATTAGTGCCGGTAGATACATCGCAGACTATGGTTGCATCTGATAAGGGGATAGGCACATCTTTGAGCTGTAAGGAAGAGTTTCTGCGGCAGGTTTGGAGTTCAACGTCATCTCTTTGTAATTGAGCCATACGATCAAGACTGATGTCTACCGACGTTTGGAGCTGGTTAATGTCACTTCTTGAAAGAGAATCGGCTACCACGTTCGCATCCCCTTTGATGTACTGAATGTCGGTTGAAAATTGGGAGATATAATCCAACTGTCTGGCTTCTCTAGGGGAGTGTTTATCGAGTGAAGTAGTGAAAGCATGACACAGGGGCTTGTGGTCAGTAAAAATAGTGAAATGCCGGCCCTGTAGTAAGTAACTGAAATGCTTCACTGCAAGATATATGGCCAGCAATTCTCTCCCAAAAGTGCTGTATCGTGTCTGAGCCGGTTCCAACTTCTTAGAAAAGAATGCGAGTGGGGTGACTTCGCCCTTCATCTTTTGTTGTAATACTGCCCCTACAGCTACTTGGGAGGCATCTGTGCACAAAATAAGCGACGCTTCGGGGTTGATATGGGATAGCATAGTGACTCTGGATAAGGCATCTTTTGCGTTGCAAAATGATTCGTGTGCTTCAGCTGACCACTGAAACTTTTTAGGATCATTTTTAAGGAGGTCGGTTAACGGCTGGACGATGGAGGCACACGAAGGAATGAAACGCCGATAGAAATTAAACATCCCCAAAAAACGTCTGACCTTCTTGAGTGAATCTGGTTCGGGGAAGTTTTTGATGGACTCTATCTTTTCCTCCGTAGGCGTAATACCATTCGCGGTTATGTGGTGTCCCAGAAACTGTATAGAGGAGACACCGAATATGCACTTTTTGGGGTTAATGACGACTCCATATTGCTCAAATCGTTGAAATAAGATGGTGAGGTGATCAGTATGTTCTTCGGGCGACGAGCTAGCAATTAAAACGTCATCGATATATACAAATACAAAGTCCAAACCTTGTGTGACCTGATCCATGAAACGTTGGAAGGATTGTGCTGCGTTCTTTAGGCCAAATGGCATGCGGAGAAATTCAAACAAACCGAAAGGTGTGATGATGGCCGTTTTTTCGATATCCTCTTGGGCAACTGGTATTTGGTGATAGGCCCTGACCAAGTCTACTTTAGAAAAAATGGTTTTTCCGTGTAATGTCAGGGAGAAATCATGAAGATGAGGAATAGGATAACGGTCGGGAACTGTGGCATTGTTTAAATGTCGGTAATCCCCACATGGCCTCCAATCATGATCAGCTTTAGGCACCATGTGTAAGGGCGAAGACCAAGGACTATTGGAGGGTCTGATGATGCCGAGCTGCATCATGTGTTCAAATTCTGCCTTGGCTGCTGCCAATTTGTCCGGGGGTAATCTACGGGACGAGCACGAACTGGTTGACCCGTAGTAACTATCTTGTGAGTAACTGTGTGAGGGACGTCCTCGATGTTGTACGACGGCTTAAGAATTTTAGGGAAACGGTGAAGTAGGGAGGAAAAAGGGCAATCTGCTGGTCTTTCAATACTGATATTATAGACAGAATAGCTGGAGATAATTCCATGGATCTTTAGATGGGTGTTGTTATCAATCAGTTTTTTATTGTTGACGTCAACTAACAGGTTGAAATTACTCAAGAAATCTGCTCCGAGGATGGCGTGACTGACGTCGGCTACTATGAAAATCCATGTGAAACGCCGACGTAAACCTAGATCCAGTATGAGGGATTGCTCTCCATACGTCTGTATGCTTGTGTGGTTAGCTGCCCGGAGAGACAGTTTTCCGGGTGTCCGTGTAGATCGCCTGGATAGTGAAGGAGGGATTACGCTAACTTCTGCTCCCGTGTCTACCAGGAATAAAGTGTCTGAAGTTTTATCCTTCACATAGAAGAGGCGACTTGTTTGCTTGCCAGTAACAGCTGTCGCCATCACTGTCTGGCTGAGGCGTTTCCCTGAGCCTGGTTGGCTTCGCTAAAGCTGCACGGTTTTACACATTTCAGGGCATGACGTCCAAACTTCCAGTGATACCAGCATATATTGCTATCCCGAGAAGACGTGTAAGAACGCTGTCGTGAGAAGGATCGTCGTCGTGATGGTGACCTTCTTTGTGAACTCCGTCTCCGGACTTGTCGATCAGACTTATTAGTTTCCAACTTGTCAATCCTTGCCGCTAAGTCTGCAATGGCGGCGAGTATCGGTGTGTCTGCCGTGGGTGTGGAATGACACGGTGTGGCACTATCAGATGCTACGTGACTTATGGTGTTATCGGATAAAACATCCAAAATACTATCTGCCATGTCACTTAGTTGGTCTAAGTCATACGACTTTCCTGAGATGATTAAAATTTGCTGGACATTTCTAGGTAAACGTTGCAACCACATCTGTTTCAGCACTACCTCGTCTACTTTATGATTTCCGATTAACTGGCGCATGTGCCTGAGCAGCTGGGATGGTTTACGTGGGCCTAGTTCACAGCCTGTGAGCAATTGTTGGATTCTTTTCTCATCCGACAAACTGGTACGTTGTATGAGGAGGGCTTTAAGTTTATCAAATTGATGTTCCGTCGGAGGATCTTCGATGAAATCGCTGATTTCTGTCAATACTGACGGAGGGAGTTCTGCCAGCACCATACCATATTTGGCTATTTGGGACTTAATGCCCCGTGCTTCTAGCAACGGTTCAATTACCGCAAACCAAATCCTTGGTTCTGCGAAACCGTATTGGGGTAAACGAAAATCAGTGATGGCATTTATTGTGGCATTTGTCTCGCTATTAGTTGTCTGCTCGTTTGATGTACCGGACTGAGGTGATGACATTATATATATGAGGTTATTGGTGCAAATTAGGATACAAATATAAACCACACACAAAATCACAATGAATATAAAAATAGCAAAAATAAGAATATGAATATGCCAAAATAATCCGTGTTCTTATCGGGCTCACCAATTAATTTGTAGGGGACTAATATTAGAGTTCACTAACATTCCAAATATAAAAGTAATAATCCAAGTCAGTGGAGTGTTAAATCACAATATATTACCAAAAATACAGTGACGAGTTATAGCAACAAAAAGGATTACTTGTATATAAAGTCTAAGTCCTCGGCTACAAATTAATTATATAATCCACGGGCACGTTAATTGTTTGGACTGCGTCTGCTGTAGCTGCTGTGTTCCGGTTGTAGAAATGTCTTCGGTTGAGAGTAGTAGGCTCCTACAATAAATCCGAAGTACACAACACGGTGTGAGTGGAGCAAGTAAGCAGAAGTGACCAGGGAGAAGACGAAGTCTCCAACAGCAGAGTGTATTTTTCAATTGTACACGGAAGTTATGTATATTTCAACAAGAAGCGTTTTAAACAAAAATTATGTACAATATCTCGAATTTATACAAGTAACCAAAAAGTGTACAATCACATTGTTACGTACTCAACAATATCGCTTCGACAAGTATATCAGCAAATCTTACCATACACACCAAATTAGTAAGTTAAGATTTAAGATGTGAAAGTTAGTTTCTTGCTGATTCTCTTTAGAGTGTCAGATATCGACGGCAAGTCGGATTATGAAGTTGTAAAGCTATGCTGTTTAAGATAGCTTGACCACATTTTACGCCACCCAGCCCATTTCCCTCCTCATCTAACAATATTAACTGACGTAGAATTAGGTTGGCAGTCAAATCAAAACTTTGAAATAACCCATGAAATTACTGATTGTCGGTGTGAGCTATGTTGAAAGGTAAAACGTGGTTGTCTGGAGTCGTCAAGTTGCTAAGGTTCAACGGTACGAGACCGTTAGTTATATGACTGAAAATTGTACTCGCTAGCGCAGATGTACTCAGTCATAATGACCTCTAAGATTCATTAAATCCTTATGATTATTAGTGTGATTATTCCCTCTCCCGTATATTTCTGCCCATCATAATTCCTCTGAAATTTTCCCTATCTCTATGTACCAAATGAAGTGTGACAGCTTGAATTATTTCAGACACAGAATTGTAGAAAATAAGGTGAGCGAAACTCATAAGAGAAATGAATTTATAATACTATGTTATAGTGGTCCATCTCGTTGTATCATGATGTATATATATATATAAAGACTGCTATAATAATTATTATTGCTCTCGTTTATTTCTCCATATGATAAACATATCTTACTATTATAACTGTAATTATTTTTATTAACAAGCTGGATTATTATCATTGAAATATGGTCCAAAATGGATTGCATTCATTGGGGTATTTGGATGTGCTATTGTAGAACTTTTTGTCCCAATTTCAAGTCATTTAAATGCTACAACAGTAATTATTCTACGTGTAATTGAAGGTCTATTTTCGGTAAGTAATTGTCTTTTGAGTTGATATATTCTCTAAACAAGTGAGTAATTAATTTTATGAACGAATGAAAGTTTAATGTTTGGGTGGTTATTTGTGACAATTGATTGAAGGCTGCACTGTTGCACTTTTTTTCAATCGTTTTGTGAAGCCTTATCACTAAAAAAAGTGTTCACTTCTCTCACTGATATCAGATGTGATAGCTGTTGATTTACATAGAATGACGTTGGAGGAGTTATCATCATTGAATTGTAATCAACTATTTGTAAGGCTATATTAAATTAAATTATTCATAATGTTGCTTTGATTGATGTTGACTAGCGGGTGAGACTGAAGATGCATATTTTGTCCTATTTGGGACTGTTTAGCTGAACGTGTCTTCACCCACATGGACGTTTTACCCATATCCATCCCAATCAGCATACTACCACCATTCACTCACTAAGGACTCAGTTACATCCAGTTTGCATGTCTATAATAGGAGAAAACACAAACCCAGGATTCAGCTTCTAAGCAGCATCAATCAAAAAAGCATCAAGCTAATCCTCAGACGTCATCGTAGCACCCATACAATGCGCCGATATGAAATTTGCCTAAATATGATTTTATAGTGACCATTGAATCCATTTCTGTTGTCTGATCGAATTATTTTTGAATGGGTTTGCGTAATTGGGGATCAGTCACTCTCCATATGCTGTCGATAAGTAATATGTAAGAATGAGTTAGTAACCGGTTTTATAGCGTTGTGACTACTCATCAAGGAGTAACCAACGTCATACATTTAATCCTTGATAATGGTCACAGGCTGAATTCTATCAGTTGAGTTAACAGATGTGGTCACCAAGCTAAGTGTTTCACCATGACGTTGTACTCTGAATTGTCTTCAGATGACCAAAAGCAATTGTCAGAAAGCCTTTGACCTAGGTTTCGCACTTATTGGAGTTCTTCAACAAGGTATATCAGTGGTAGTAATGTCTCCGACTTCAGCATTGGGTGACGTGGGTTCGAAAGTCAAAGGGAACACGATTGCCTCTACAGTTGCAAATATACTTTGCAGAAGGGTGTCAACAACCAAGAAAACTGGGACCAGAGCTTCCTACCAATTACCTACAACTATCTAACAACTATGATAATATTATGTAACCTCTATTACTACTTTTGTTATCTTTGCCGTTTACAATTTTCCTATTTCCTAGTCTTAGTGATATCTACAGTTATCGACCTTTATTGTTTTACTATAATATATATCACGTCTTTTGACTGCTAACCAATGATGTCGGATACAGAGTTGAAGAGGATGTCCAGCTTAGCCGATATAATACTTCTTGAAGCTGGTGCAACGGATATCAGAATTCATCAAGACTGAGTAAATCTGAGCCACTGACAGCGATTTTCAGCCATATCACGGAGTCTCTAGAAACTGATTCTTAGCGTGTCAATGACACCAGCTAGGCTGTCTATACCATCCTACATGTTCGAGAACTTCATGGTTTGGTGCGAGGGTTTTGATTTAACCATCTCTAACTCTTATATCATTCCATATTAGATAAGTTTATTTCAAATATAACACAGTGATACCGTATTATTAACTAGATGACTTTTCGAGCAGAATTTATTGCTGTTGCTCAAAATTATATCATTTAGCCACACAGTCTCATGATTTGCTTTATATATGTATGTATTTCTCACTCTCTCTCTCTCTATCCCTTGTTGCTTGTTACCACTTTCCCTAGTGACATTATCATCTGGTTATTCATACTGCATAGTTGTGTGACATTTGAAGTAAACTCATCTATTAGGGAATTACATTCTACCACAGTAACTAAGTTCTGAATTTACATTATTCTTATGTCAGCTGGTATTGTTGGATGTTAATGAAGATAAGGTGAGATGTGTAAGACGTATTCTAACCATCTCAGTCTGTGTAGTTTTACAAATCCATCCATTGACTCTCCCTTCTTCCTTAAAACTCTACCCCTCTTACCTCGATACTATGCATAATTTTATACCTCTTGACATGACAATCAGAACACAATTACCTATAGTCAGAAACAGTTAACCTCTTCATAGGTCTCACATTTAGCATCCATAGTTTTACCAGCCACAAATGAGTACAGAGGGAACTGCTTCGCGGTACACGTGTCCTTTAATCGACAGCTGAAAATCACGAGAGATGACGAAATTCGGTAAGTGATATATCCATCTTTAATATTCATGTTTGGGTTTCATTAATAATAACTCCATTCGGGGCGATAAAACATTCGAAATAAGTGAACTGGGATTCGAATATCTTAATGGTGAATTTTTAGACTTCTGCACCAAATATAACACAGATTTAAACTTCTTTGTGGAACATAGCTGCCCTATGGATAAACATAATAAAAATCCTTTTAATAAATATAGGTTATTTTGATGCACAATATATCCCCGTAATGAAAGGCGTAATATGATCACGATTTTCAAGTAAATGTTATTATGAACTTAAATCAGTCTGGAGGTCATTGAAAATATAAGAGAACTGGAAATTAACTAGTCAACCAACAACCCACTGCCAGATGTAGAATAAAGCCCTCGAAGTTACCAGATGGACTCTCTGATCATTCAACCACCTTGTTGGCATTCAAAGATCCATGAATTCTAACTTCTTGACATCATTTCGATATTACCATTATGATAATTATAGAATAGAAGCAACTACGTATTTCCAGGAAATTCTTATCAGGCTTCATAATTACCTAATAAAATATTAGCTATAGACACTTGAAACAATACAGATCAATGGGATAAAGTACAGTCACAATTAGAATGTAAATAGACTGGTGGGAAATAACTATTGTCACATAGTGATTAGATAATATAATAATAAAACTGTGAAATTAAGGTCAGAATATGCAACTATATCATAGCATGATATCGATAATAAAGTTAACGGTAAAAATGAAAGTGATCAACTCGCAAAAACAAAACTAACCCTTACAAATCAAACTATAGAAAAATTCTTTTTTTTATCTGCAGCTTGATTCCACACTGTATTTTTGGTACAAGTATGGAATTTTCAGCATGGATGTCGGTAGCCCAAATTTTGCAGGCCGACCATAGATATCAGGTGTGCATCAGCGGGGGCTCGAACCCCGGACCATGTGCATGATCGGCAAGAGACCTACCCACTGTGCCACCGACGCTGGCTAGGGACTTACTACAGGATGGAGTTTCCTGGAGTTCCAGTGAGAAGTCGTGACCATTGAGGTTCATCCAGTAGAGAGTGAGGATGGATTTCCTGACGATGACATTGGTGGCTGTTGGTCGCGCTAAATCACGAGTTGGAAGAAGTTACAACTCATGAACCATTAAGGAATCTGATCCCACTGGCTGAATGGTACACGAACTAGCTAGCCTTGTAACTGGAAGGTCGTGGGTTCGAACCCTGGCGGTGAGTGCGTACTGGCGATGATTCCCAAACCAGACTGATGAAACAGCAGCTGTTCAGTACTCCCTGGTTTTCAATGGTTCTCTAACTGATATCAATCCGTAATCAAGTCGTAAAATAAAAACTATCCTTTATAAACCAAACTATAGAAAAATGAAAGTTCTTGAAAAAATGATATTTTTCTCTGGGACCGATGGCAGTTGGGAGGGAGAGGGATTGAGAAAAAAACTTTTTCTGAACAGAAAGACTGGGCTGAAAATTTCGTTATGGCAACTGCCTCATCTCTGCTTAGCAACTGAAGGCGTACAAACTTAGGGAATTGAGTTGGCAGCATCTTGTAAAGAATTGGAACTCTTAACTGACTTTACTACCACTTTACCTTACCACGTTAGACAATGCTGAAGATGGTGGCAGTAGGCTTTATGAGTTGTTCTACCCATACAATTGTCTCCACAAGAACAGTTAAAACAAGCAATAAAGGTTAATGAAGCAGGATTCAATAAATTTATCAAATTTTGGTAGAACTCGTCAGCTGAATACTCTACATACACGGATATATACATATACCTTTGAAATTACATTGGGAGATATAAGACTGATAAGTAAACAAATTACATTGAATTAGTCGTGCAGAAAGACAGGTGCAAATTTTTCTAGGTCATTTTCAAATAGATAAGGCGAGAGGGAGTATGAGAGATCAAAATTAAGATAAAGTGCATTACGCTTCAATTACATCACTTAGATAAACGATTAGTCATTAGAGAATACAACAAGAATTTTGATGTGGTTTTGTTCTCTGAGCAGGATGGTTAGTTTGCGCAAACTAACCATCCAGCTCAGAGAACAAAACCACATCAAAATCATCCACCTGAGCTACAAATCTTCTCCATCATATCTAAATACAACAAGAATATCAATAGTAATAGTTATAATAATAGTGTTGAAGTGAGTTAAGATAATCCTATTGATAAAGTATAGTTTTAAATGAATCAAGAATAATAATAATAATAGTAAGAGTTAGAATAATAAGTAAAACGTATTACTATGGTAGATTCAGAGTGACGACCATCTCCTTTTGTACACAGAGACCTGGTTTATAAACTCGAATTGCACAAACCTCTGCAATTGCAAGCATCTTCTTGTTTCTTTGTCTACTGACAATAGTGAATGACTTGACCGCGTCGATATCATGTCCGTAGTCCACAAGATGTTTTGTCATTGAGGATTTTGGCAGCTTTCACTCGGCTGTTTTCAACCACTTTGGCAAATGCTCCATCATGCGAGTAGACAATCGTTTTTCCATACGACCTATGAATTTGCTTCCACAAACACACTCAAATTGATATATACAGTTTGAAGTGTCCAGGATTGGCAACTGGTCTTTCCCAGATTGTTTAAGCACTCGCTTAGTGGTGTTAAGGTAAACAAGTTTTGCAGCGTAATAAGTTCTCTTGATGGCTTTATCGAGTCTTCGTTTGACTACTTCCTGTACATCATCTCCTTTGAACGGTAAACTGATATAGACAGATTTCTTCGGAACTGTTTGGATTGTCTTGCAGGGTCTAATTTCTTTAGAGTATTTGTTAATGAACCTCTCAGGATATCCATTCTTAGATAAAATATCCTTCAGAATAGTGTTTTCTTGCTCAAATCGTATTCTAGATTTAGTGTAGCCACAATCCATTTCACATGTGATGACTTCGCGTAACAAGATGTGCATTGAAACAAATGAAAATCCGTATAAATTCTAAAATATGAATTTCATTCTCTTGTTGGTTAGTAGTTACAGTATGAGTGTCGTGAAGTTTTGATGAATACTCTTACGAATCAATAAACGCAGTTATAATTGCTTAGAGTTGCGAAGTTCAGCGGTAGATAATATTCACCAACCACGCATGTCATCCGCGTCCCGAACCCGGCCGGCACACACTTCTGAGCCTCTCTGAACTGGCAGTAAGGCCGATAGAGAGGGAAGGCTGAGTGTGGGACTAGTTACCCCACCCCATACTTTAAACCACCACTACCGAAACTTCAGAACTCTAGCTTGAAGAGTTACGTTCCATTCAGAATGCAAATGAATCAAATTATATTTACTGTAGATAATATATTTCATTTATTTTCAGGGTCTGGTAATGTCAGCAGTTAGTTGTTTGATGGGTAATTGGGCACCTGCAGGTGAGAAAAGTCGATTTGGTGCTCTCACAACTTGTGGTAAGTAATCGAAAATTGTGTGAAATTATTCTGATTTTATAATCACACATACAGAATAGTAATAAAAGCAGTTAAATATGATAGTTTCTGTAGGGTTTGTTATATAAAATGCAAATATTCGAATTTCAATGTAATTAATCTGGTTGATGGTGGCCAGCAGTGGACTCGACAATATACACTTTGTCATATTTGAGACTGATCAACAAGATTCACATGTATCTCCAGTGAGTGATAGTGTTCTCAGGCGTATTCCCAGTAAGTATGCCTTTAGAATTTGAAAGGGTGAGTAGTGAGTTCGGGTCTCATTGCAGATACTGTAAGACTGATAAATAACTAGCTACTCACTGGATCTACTAAGGGATCTCTGGGAGCGAACCAACCAGGAACCGATTGTGAAACAAATAGGCAGGAAGAAATGGAGATGGATTGGCTATACTCTGAGGAAACCATCAAGTGACATCACACGGCAGGCCATTGCTCGAGTGGAACCCGAAAGGGAAGCGGCGAGTTGGTCGTCAGTGCAAGGGTGACTTGGAGGAGGTCATGTGAAGAGGAGATGAAAGTATGTGAGCAGACTTGGAGTGGGGTGAAAAGTTGGCAGAAAACAGAAGGCAATGGAGACGCGCAGCTGAAACCCTATTATCCTCTAGGAATTAAAGGATATAACAATAATAAACTCACCGGATTGATTTTATTGAGAATAATATCGATAATAAGAAATTCAAAGTCTCTGTAGTACTGCTATACAAAAAAAGGAACATTAGATGCCCTGAATAGAATTCTTAACAAGGCTAGAATGAGGGTGTCATTTAAACCAACCAACTCACTCAGATAGAAATTTTGATGGCTTAAGGATCTAATAGGTCTAATTAAGTAAAAACGATATATTTTAACAAATACCATATAATGACTGTGAGGTCCAGTTGGTAGATCGGGGTCAGCTAGATTATCCGAGCATAAGAATCTAGCCAGTTCTAGAATCATTGACTCTGTTAAGTTAAATATTCTAGAAAACAGCTGTGCCACTGTAATGCCTTCATTTGCATGTAATCACACAAGTGTGTGAGATAGGTTAGAAGTATTTAAGAGTAATATAACTAGTTGGAGAAAGAGTTTAAACACCGAATTTGTGTTCATCATATTAATATCAAACACGTGCAATCAGGATAAACACTGAAGACTGGAATAAGGATCAGTAGTAAGGAGTGAGGTTATGTAAATCAAGTATGCGAGAGTATGAATAAATCGGTGTAATTATGTGCAAAAAATCGTGCTCCAGGAGTCCCCATCCGGTCATTAAAACTGTACCACTTAGTCTTTGAATTGTTATTTCAGATAAATTTCAGATACTTTACACACCAGCGTACCCAGATTCTACTCTTACACGAATTATTATTGTTGTTGAAGTTGAACTATTTATAAGCGTCTTCTGCGTATATAACCTTCGATTACCAGTTAGAATCACACATATTATTATTATTCTCAAGGATCCCGAGTGGAACATACGGCTTTAGCAGGACATCTTCATTTTACCTTGTTATTTGTAGTCATCTTCATCTAGCCCTCATCTCCTCGTCACACCATCTCCTCCATGTCACTCTAGGACGCTCAACTCATCATTTTACATCCGGATCCCACTCAACGACCTGCCTGGAGCGTGATTTCATTCAATAATCTCCTCAGTATGTTCCCTATCCGCTTCCGTTTTCTTCTAAATGTTTGCTGATTTATTCCTAGAGTTTCTTGTCCCTGGTTTTAGATAAGTGAGGGAAGTGACATCTTTCAAATTTATCCTATTGATATTGATTGTCGCCTGCTGTTGGTGGTTGGTTAATTGTCTTCATCAACTCCATCTTCTTTATGTTATGTCGGTTTTCCCCAGTAGATCCTCGAATATGAGTGGCATTAGGCATATTTCTTCCGCAAAGTCCACGTCCTCTATAGCCTTATTATCAGTCCAGTGTATTCCTGTCTTCTTGCTGCCTACACACAGTATACCTCATAATCAAGTTGTACACAATTAGGAATATCATTGTCTTACTCCTGTATTCACCTTGAAGTTAGGCTTCACTGAATGTTCCGTTGTGAATCACCTGACACGTGACGTTGTCAAACAGCCGCTGAATGAGGTTGATAAAGATTTGGGACTCTCCATAGTACTAAACTAGTCTTCAAATTACTTCTAAGTTAACGCTGTCGAAAGCCTTTTCATAGCCAATAAAGCTGATATAGAGATTTGACATGTGGTGCGAGCAAATAAAATTACACTAGAGTTATTTTCTATAGTTTGGTTTGTAAGGGTTAGTTATGTTTTTACGAGTTGATCACGGATTGATATCAGTTAGAGAACCATTGAAAACCAGGGAGTACTGGACAGCTGCTGTTTCATCAGTCTGGTTTGGGAATCATCGCCAGTACGCACTCACCGCCAGGGTTCGAACCCACGACCTTCCAGTTACAAGGCTAGCTAGTTCGTGTACCATTCAGCCAGTGGGATCAGATTCCTTAATGGTTCATGAGTTGTAACTTCTACCAATTTGTGATTTAGCGCGACCCCAACCATTGTCATTGGTGGGACGTCCGTCCACACACGTGACATCTAATTGGACCTCACTGGTCACAACTTCTCACTGGAACTCCAGGAAACTCCATCCTGTAGTAAGTCACTAGCGAGCATCAGATTAATTTTCTATGGTTTGGTTTGTAAGGGCTAAATCACGAATTAGTAGAAGTTAGAATTCATGAACCATTAAGGAATCTGATCCCACTGGCTGAATGGTATACGAACTAGCTAGCCTTGTAACTGGAAGGTCGTGGGTTCGAACCCTGGCGGTGAGTGCGTACTGGCGATGATTCCCAAACCAGACTGATGAAATAGCAGCTGTCCAGTACTCCCTGGTTTTCAATGGTTCTCTAACTGATATCAATCCATGATCAACTCGTATACTGCAGTTACTTATGCGGAGGTGGGTGGAGTGACAGGCTTGAGAAGAAAACTAGTTATTTTGGAGGGATGTAATTATCCTGTAGATTAAAAAGCAGAATCATAAACACGACTGGCATCTCAGAAAACACCATGATCCACAATATCATCTGTTTTAAGAATATCGAGACATCTAATGCTTCTCTGTTCTGATTAACTGCTCGTGGTTAGTGGTAAGCTCATTTGGGTTGGTTACTATAGTTAGAATTCGCCACTACTATTAATATTATTGTTGTTGTTGTTGTAATTATCGTTGCTCATACTTTCTGTTTGGTTTAATTGTTATCATACAGGTATGCAAATGGGAACAATTGTTGGCCAAATATTAGCCGGGATTGTATCACAACCACGCCTGATTGATTTAGGCACTATGCCTAAATCATATATGTATATTTCATATTGGCCATATGCTCATTATTTATTCGGTATATTAAATATCCTATTTTCCGCTCTATGGATATTTACTGTCTATGATAATCCATTAAAACATCCATGGATTAGTGAAAAAGAAAAGGAATATTTATTAGAAACTATTTATACTACTACTACTACTACTAATACCAATGATAATACTGAATACAATAAAGTTAATGAGGTGAGTGAGATATAAAGAATTCTGAATAGGTAAGAATTTTCCCCTTTTACCAAATTATGAGTAACACTTATTGGTTATACATGTATTGGTTTGTAGGCATTTGATTGATTGGTTATGAGATTTCATCATGAGCTGACATTGGTTAGAGAAACACTGGAAAACCTGGGAGTACTGGATAGCTGTTTCCTACGTCCTAGTTTGGGACTCTTCAGCAGTACGCACTCACCGGGGTTCGAACCCAGGACCATCTCGTTACAATGTGAGATCGTAGACCATTGAGCCACTGGGACCACCTCTAATGACTCCAGCCCATGAATTCTAACTTGTGCCATTGTCTTCGGCGAGTATTTGCCCTCACACATACGACTTCCCACTGGGACCCACTAGCGGTCACGCTATGTCATGAATTAGCAGAAGTAAGAATTCATGGGCTGGAGTCATTAGATATGGTCCCAGTGGCTTGATGGTCTACAATCTCGCCTTTTAACGAGATGATCCTGGGTTCGAACCCCGGTGAGTGCGTACTGCTAGAGAGTCCCAAACTGGGCTGACAAAACAGCTGTCCAGTACTCCAAAGTTTTCCAGTGGTTCTCTAACTGATGTCAGCTCATGATGAAATCCTGTAGCTTATTCGTTAATTGTGTAAATCAAGTTATGAGAGAGTATGAATAAATCCGTATAGTTATGTGGGCCTCAAACGGACAGCGGACAACGAGGAGACAGGCATAAAATGGACCCACACAAAAAACTTGAAGGATCTGGATAACTGATTTCCCATAAACCGGAAGATATAGAAGCGAAAACCAACAAGTTGGCAGAAGAGGAAGCACCAAAGATAGGACTTCAGGTGAACATGGAGAAAACAGAGGTGATATAAATTCCTGGCCAACAGCAACAACAACGGTCAACAAAAATCATGTGTGGGAGAAATCGGAAAGAAGCAACCTCCTTTACCTAACGACCTGGGAAGCATCGTTTCAACTGCAAGCGGACGGAACTGATGAATATATGAAAGCGAGGTTCGGGAAAGCAAGGCAAGCTTTCATTTCTCTCAAGTCTGTGTGGAGGTCAACAATACTCACCATGAAAAATAAGATGCGGATTGTCAACTCTAATATGAAGTCAGGGCTACTTGATGGATCATAGACTTGGCTCGTCATGAAGAGCACTTTGAACAAACTACAGACCTTCATCAACACCTGCTTTCGCTCAATACTGAAGATCAGATGGCTAGAAAAGGTCAGCAACAGGGATCTCTGGCAATAAACGAACCAACCAACCATGAACCGATTGTGCAACATATATGCAGGAAGAAATGGAGATGGATGGACCATACTCTGAGAAAACCATCTAGTGAAGTCACTAGACAAGCCCTCGAGTGGAATCCGAACGGGAAGCGGTGAGTTGGTCGTCAGTACGAGGGTGACATTAAGAGGTAATGTGAAGAGGAGATGAAAGCATGTGCCAGGTGAAAACGTTGGCAGAGAACCGAACGCAATGGAGAAGTGGGGCTGGAGCCCTATGGTCCTCTAGGAATTAAAGGAAACAATAAAAATAATATAAAGAGACGTTCATCGACATAAAAATATCACATAGATGGGAGATAAATTTGTCGTCAAACAGAGGAAATGAACCAGTGTTGCAGCAAGACATGGCAGACAGGAAAAAAGGCAGAGAAACACAATACGAAGGGGGCAGAAGTAGTACTACACGGAAGATCTGCCTGTGCAAATGACGATTTTCAGACAAGATGTATTTAGATAACTTCGCAATATAGTGGTACCAAATTCAAAGTAAACATACTGTTACTAAGTCTCTTGCCTTCTACCCGTGAATTCCAACGTCAATTTTCAACATCTTCTTGAGGAAATAGTTATAATCTATATTCTTTCCCCTACTATATTGTTAGCTTCGATTGCTTAGGATTATTGATTACCTATTCACATGTAAAATTGTATCATTTTGTTTTGTTTAATAAGAAATAATAAGAAACCTATTGAATAACTTTCAGGGTTGAGTTAATCTTTACGGGAGAACACATTGAAACCATTTAACCCTCACCCCGCCTAACTCCACCCTGTTTTTCCTTCACGTTCCCCAGTGGAACATAGGGCTTCAAGCTAGTGGCTTGGCACCCAAATATTTTAGAACTATTCTGTCAAATCATGACGACAGTTCATTTGAATTATTTTGCAATCGAATTAAATTAACAAAGAAACTATGTGATTGTCACAATCATCGTGTTTTCACTCTCCTTTGTCTGCAACAGAATGCATATCCTAAATCCGTAGCTGTTGAGTCACCTGACAGCTCCAGTAGGTCGAATAAATCAGCTCAATCTTCAGAAAGAAGGCAAAGCAATAAGTTCAACAGGGTGTTTCAATTAAACTCTAATCCTAAACACCATAATTTTCAAAATAAGTTTAATCATAAAATGCTAGATAATAACAATTTGAATAGACGTGAAGGCGTGATGTTAGCTGATGCATAGCAAATCATGATTAAGGAATAAATAAAAATGGATATGTATCACTAATTAATAATATTTGGTCAAAATTCCCGACTGTCTATATCTTCTTATGGAGACGTTAAGAAATGTTTAACAACAATTTACCCACACGCACACAAACACACTCTGTCTAAAGTGTTTAACAAAGGTAGACCAATATTTGTAAGTCCGAGATCAAATTTTGATCACAGTTCATACAATTTTGTTTACTATACTTGTTGATACCTGTTTCATGACTCATATGATTGGACAAAGTTTTTTAAAAACAAGATTTGTCTTTTTATAATACTAATCACTTTTACGTTAATTTAGACTAATTTTCCTGAAGAAGTTCGGACCAGATTCCCGAACTCAGGAAATATTGGAATTACTGATTTCAATCTTGCTGAGATTTTACAAATATAATTTTTTACAAATGTCTACTTCTCACTTGGCGCCCAAATATTTTAGAACTATTGTGTCAAACCTTGACGACAGTTCATTTGTACTAGTGGCTTGAAGTTTCTGTAGCAGTGTTTATTTTCTACAGGATGGGGTTGCTAGCCTCATGCCCAACCTTTCCTCTTTACCAGCATTATTTCTGGTTTAGAGATGTAAAGGAGTGCGTCGATGTCCGGAGATCGAATAGCGGACCATGTGCATGGTCGGTGAGCGTCCTAACCTGCTATGCCACCGACGCACCTAACCCCACTTTACTTCTGCTTTACTCTATCAATAACAATAAGAACAACACCATCTGTCTTCAAAATTAACCTTGTCAAGGTGTATTTAGTTGATTTTCTGTGAAAAAGAAATGGTATAATAACTGAAATGAAGGAAATAAGTTAACTGTCAGAATATATATATTGACAATTACTTCATTTGACGCACTGTTATATTGTTTAAATCAAAACAAAATTAGGTATTCAATAAATCAATTGCATAGGTGAACTCATAGATTAATAAAAGACGAATCAGATTAGAAGTTAAATAAAAAATAATCCTAGAAATAATAAGTTGTAAGTTTATCTATAAGCTGGTTCATTGGGATAAAATCCTCTCCAAACATATACAGTGGGGGTTCACATCCCAAACAACCCGCCCTAAGTGGTTGATAGGACGTCTGGAATAAAGAAAAGGTTTGATGTGATGTTGGTGACTTAACCCCATGAAAACGATACCGTTGCTATTATTATTAGTAGTAGTACCTTGGATTTTCTAGTGGAACACAGGACTTCAGTAGCACGTTTTGATTTCCCTCTGTTTACCTCTCTGTCTTTTTTCTACCTGGCTCTACGGCTGCACTTAAGTTTTCACTTCCTCGTCACCACATGATCTTCTCTGTGTCATCACTGGATCTATGCTCAACACACTTGTCGTTTCTCAATTGGGTTCAATTCGAGGGCATAATACGTGATGTAGCATGCCATTTAACGGTCTCCTCAGCCTATGCACAATCCATTTAAATTTTCTACTGCTTGTTTATTTGTTAGGCAACAGGTTCTTGAATGGTTCGTTGTCTGCCAGAGTTCCTCTTCGCTTATCCTTACTAAAACTTCAAAAGCAAGTGGAAAGACTTAAATTCCTGTGATAGAATTCCACTTCGTTTCTACCATTCGCTTCCTATATGAAGCAGTGGTATTTTTGTCAAGGTTCCCGATTACTAACTTCCTTGGGTGAAGGGTTCGAACCCTGTTTCATCTACTGAATTTTTGGGTATCCCCTATCCCTCTGCCTCAGAAACAATGGATGTAACTCATAGCCAACTACAGTATGGGATCATATTTAGTAGTGATTGCATAATATTTACATCGGCTCTTTTGTTTTCTTTCTGTTTATTACATATTTAATCGAAGGAATCAAATACTACTGAAAAGGAAGTTAGCAGTATTGGTGATACTAAAAAGTAAGTTAACTGATTTAATTTTAGTCATATTCGTTGCTTAGATTTTTAAGTTTAGTAGCAATCTAGATTAATTTTAGCGTAGATTTTGTCAGTGAACCGTTATTGGGTACAGAATTACTGAGAATGAAGGAACAGTGGACAGGTGTTTCATACTAGATTGGGACTCTTTAGACACTGGGTTAGAATCCTATGACTGATGGATTATAACAACTGTTAGTTTGCTATATAATCACACTAAAACTCTGAAATTTATCGGAATTATTAGGAACCCAAAAATTCTGAATTTCGATCTCCTGCGCATTAATGCCTACAGGATGGATGTCTTGAAGTAGTTATGAGAAGTTTTGGCCTGTGGGTTCCAAGATATCAGAGTAAGGCGGATGTTCATCAACAGCATTCCGACCCATCGGCTGAATAGTCAATAGCCTGGCATCGTGACCCGAAGATCCTGGGTATATTGTCCAAAATTTAACTATTTCTGTCTAAACATGGGTAACCAATCGATGTGTTCATCTATATAGCTTTCTAAACTCCTGCGACTGACGAACAGTCCAAAATTATCTCCCAAAAATATCGGAACCCACTTTTACATGATAGAATCTACAGTTTTACTCAACAATAGTAATAACTGATATCAAGAATACAAAACTACATCGACAATGCTATCTGGCAGCTAGGCAGTTCAAAAGTGTCTCAGATACTAAATATGTATCGTAAAGCAAAACTGATAGACCAAACACCGCTTTAGATTACTCTGTGATCAATCAGAATATTTTCAACATGGACGGATGAAAACTTTGTCTGTAAGAATGAAACACAACGAACACATTTTCCTCCGATGTTGTAGAGTAAACAGGATCACTTCTAACCATTGCCATAATTTCATTCATACAAAATCTCTATCGTAAAATAACACATGCTTATCACTGCCATCGCACAACAGTAAATGGAATCAATTAATAGTTGGAATTAGCCGATGACACAGGGAAATAATGAGGATTAAATCAAAAGGAGATGTACAAATGTTAGACACATAGGTTAGGGGTAAAGGGTAATGATTATAAAATTAATTGAAACATTCAAATAAATATCAGTATTGTAAATAGATGGTTTAATAAGGGATTTTTAGATCAATTATTCTACTACACAGAGTTCGGTCCCAGGGAAAGGGAACTTTCTGTGAACTGCTGACTATTTTCAAGTATTGGTTAAGTAGGAATTTTGTTGGGTTGGCTACAGAATTTTATCATGAGCTGACATCAGTTAAAGAACCATTGGAAAACCAGCTGGGAGTACTGGACAGCTGTTTTGTCAGCCCAGTTTAGGACTCTTCAGTAGTACAAACCTACCGCGGGGAGTTCGAACCCAGAACCTTCAGGTGTCAAGGCGAGCTCGTGGACCATTAAGCCACTGGGATCCGATTCAATGGCGAGACAACTGCCCTCTAATACAAGATACAAGGGTTATATTATGCAAAATCGATTGAGTTCAAGGTTTAGTTACCATTAAGACAGTACTCAATGTGACTGATTTATATTAGTTCTTATAAGTGGTATTTTCCACAATAAAGACTACATATATTTCAAACAACGCGTACTGGGTTCTGCTGACAGTGGAATGTGAGCACTATTAGTCATCTGCAATGTAGAGGTATCTATTTGACGAGATCCCTCAATATGAAGGAAAGCACCCCTTGAATTCTATAGTTAGCCAACACCAACTACATGAGATCCTCCTACCCTTCTGGAAGGAGGCAATGTCCCAGTAAAGAGAAAATTCAAAATAATTGAAATAACTAATACTGAACCTTATCATTTAAGTTAATTTGTGCCTCCACTTTGACCGAAATTCTCAGTCTCTGTAGACATATCACAGCTACTTGTGTGAACGATTCGATGATGTCTGAAGATTACCGTGATGTTTTTTTTCGATTGAGGGGGACTAGCAATGGAATCTAGGCTGGGAACTTCATGCAGTTTAAGGCGGTTTCGCTGGATATCCCTACTATCTCTATGGGGTGAGTTACGGTGTTCCTATCAAGACTAGAACTGAAGACCCAACGTCTCAAACACCAATGGATCCCTATTTATATTATTTTCTCCTATAGTAAAGGGAATAAACGACCCAGAAATTAGGGCATTTCTAGTCATATTTTTGTAGAATTGTCACGTAAAAATGTAAAAAATTAATTTCAATGAAGTTAAAATGTTCATTTACCTTTTTGTAATTAGATCATTTATTATGCTGGTGTATAATATGGGATAATATGGGAAGAGAAAGAAGTTCTGTCGTTTTAATGATTTAAAAGGATTTTTATGGAAGTGAACACTTTCCCTCTAATCTTGTATATGTCAGATAAATTGATTTAATTAGTTAGTTTATTCCCTCCTATTCAACGCTTGCGCGCACACACACACACACACATACACAAACAAACAAACACATGTGTTGGTGTATATCAATTTTTACAAGTATATATGTGTTTTGTTCATAAGCCTTCAGAGTGGAACATAGGGTTGCATGCTTTTTAAGGTTTGAAGTTTCACTAGAAGTAGTTGGTATTCTTTTGTATACGAGTTAGGTTCCCCAACCTCACATCCAGCCTTCTTTCTGTCGATTTCTTCTCAGAAATCTGGAAAAACAATAATAGTAGTAAATGAATTTTCTTTCTATGGAATAAAGCAAACGTTTGATTTACGCTTAAATATCTAAAAGTACAGGATTTGTCTGAAGTATGATCCTACTTTATATATAAAATAATAAATGTAATATACAAATCTCAACTTATGAGGTATCTAAGGTTGAATGCCATCAAATGTACTGTCACTGTGCTTAATAAGAGGTGTGTCGATCGGTATTGAACAGGGAGTGAATGAATGTTTAGATAAAGAATAAAGGGTTTCGGATCAAATGGCAACTCTACACGTCATCATCGAGCAGTGCATAGAATGGCAGTTGAATCTTCAGCTCAGCTTCATTGACTATTGAAAAGACCTTTGACAGGACTACTTCAACACTACGGCGTTCAGTGTCCAAATCTTTATCAAACTTATTCAACGGCGCTATGACAATGCTACAGAAGTGAAGTGATCCACAGGGGAAAACGTTTTGGAGTCTGCTCCTTTTGATGTGAATACAGGAGTAAGACAAACTGACTGTCTACTTTCACTAACTATGGTATTCTTGACTGTGGTGAACAGGATTATGCGGAAGGCTTTCAGGAGTGAACAAATCGGAATATGTTGAACCCATGAGAAGATTTTAGAAGATTTAATCTTCGCAGACGACTTATGTTTAGTGTCACATAAACTCCAATACAGACAGATGAAAACCAATAAATTGACAGAAGAGGCAGGCGGTGAGGACAGGAGTTCAAGTCAAAACAGAGAGGATGGAGGTGATGGAGATAACCAATCAAACAATAACAACAAACTCCGATTACAATCGACAGGAGAAGTTTGAAGGAAATCACTCCTTACATTCGTTGGAACTACAGAAGGCATAGATAAAGATGACAATGGAAGGGTTAAAAGAGCAAGACGAACTTTCATTACTCTGAGATCAGTTTGGAAATCTGCTGCACTTAGTATGAGGAACTAGATTCGGACTCGCAATACTAATTCCAAGCTGCTCAGTTAATCTCTATGGGTCAGAGACCTGGCGTGTCAAGCAGGCTTCGAACTTTCATCAGCAGCTGCTTTCACTGGCTTCATACTGAACGTGATATCGCCAACCAGAAAGAATTGTCAACAAGGAGCTCTGGAAACGAAACAACCAAGAATCTCAGGATTTCATTATCAACTGACATGGGTTAGAGGAGCATCGGAAGACCTGGAGGTACTGGACAGCTGTTTCGTTCCAGTTTGGGGCTATTCATCAGTAGGCACCCACCACTAGGGTTGGAACCCAGGAACTCTTGGTTACAAGTAAAGCTCGTAGACTACTATGGCACTGTGACCCGGGTCGGGTGGGAGGAGAAATACTTGCCAATTACATTCGCTAGTGGTTGCACCATATTATGAACTGGCAGCAGTTGGAATTCATTGGCATTCGAGTCTGGTGCCTGTGGGTCAGTGGTCTACGAGCTCGCCTAGTTAATAGAAGGTCCTGGGTTCGAACCTAAGTGGCTGTGAGCTAATGAGGAGTCCCAAACTAAGGTGGGACAGCAGTACTCCCAGGTCTTCCAATGGTCCTCTAGCCGATGTCATTTCATCATGAAGTCCTGAAACCAATCAGATCCCTGTAAACCAGCACTTGAGCATCAACCAGAAATCTGTTGCCCGACAGATGTGGCAGAAGAAAACAGAGATGGATCTTAGGGGGACATCATGTGACAGACCACTGCTTGAGTGTAAACCTGGTGAGTTCGACATAGAATCAAAAGAGATCTTGTAAGAAGGAGGTGAGACAGCATGGAAAAGCTTGAGCCTAGCTGGAGATGACTGCAAGGGATAGAACAAAGTAAAGATATGCTATGAGAGCCGTAGCGGATTAAAAGTAATGTTGGGAATAGAGATTAATATTAAAAGAACTCTACAGCAGATACTGCTTGGTTATAAAAAGAAAATGAACAGATATCACATTAGAGTCATAAACTACAGCGGAATAAAATATTCGTTACAGAATAACGACTTAAATAGAATACTAAATACATTCATACTACTTATTACTCTTAAGTAGTATACAATTTAAAAGAAAGAAAACATTAACAAAGGATAGATAAGAAAGGAATTACCACCCCCTTTACCGGGCTTTCTGTCTGCTGTGCGAGATTTGAGAGTGTGTCAGTCTGGGATTGAACCACGCCAAATGCAAGATGATGTTACAGGACTGGACTACATCGACGCCTAGTTTAAAAATAGGAAGTGAAGTGGTAGAGCACGTTAACCGCTTCACTTATTTGGGAAGTACCATCAGCCCCAACGGGCTGACCTCTGACGAAATCTCAGCACGAATACAAGGGGCTCGTTTCGCATTTACCAATTTACGCCGACTCTGGT